CTCGTCTCTATAGAATAATTTGGATATAATTTAAATAATATTTGTCCAGATAATTTAATGATATCAGATTTTGCAGCTAGTGAAAGAAATACGCTAGACGACTTTGTCTAAACGTTCTGTGGATTTTGTAAATAAAGGATAAGTGTTACTAATCCCGTTTGTCTTCTCTCTTGAATTCGTACCTCTACACCATCTAACAACTTGGAGCTAATTTCAGTTTCCAAATTTTTCAATTCACATTACAGAAATTCAAATATACCTTTACTCGTTAATAAATACGACAAGTTGCAAACTTTGTCGTCCTAAGGCATCAGCTACTAAACGTATTGGTCCTTAAACTTTAAGGAGCTCTACAATTTTACAATATTCTGCTTCGTTCCACATGTGAAAAGCACCGATGTCATTCAAATCTAAAACAAGGCATTCTTTTAAGTGTACAAATCTTCCTATCGTTTTTCCGTAGTTGAATTATTTCTCCCTACTGTAGGGAGAATTGGACGCTTTTTAGGCGTAGGAAAATTATTTTGCTTTTGTAGTTAGTTTTATGAAACTTAGTATTTAACAACATTCTCGTTTTATGTCAGAGACGATTTTGTGTCAAACTGTTGATGTTTTTAATCAAATAATTAATTTATTTATATGTTTAAGTCTAGGCTCAAATACCCAGTTTTAGCTATATTTTAGCGGTTTTTATATAAATTTCTTCAAAAAACTGGTTTTTCAAAACGGAGTTTTAAAAACCCTAAATTAAAAATAAAATTAGAATAATCGCTATTTATTAAGTTGCATCTAAGAACAGGATAAAAGAAAATAATTTATATTGGTAAAATTAATATTAATACAAATATAGTTATATGTAAGACAATATTACAAAAATTACCCAAATAATGCTTTTTGTTAGAATATGATATATCTAAAACTTCACATTTACTCTTTGTCACTCTGAAATCAAACTTGGAAATAAAATTTTTAAATTCCGATTCGACATCATTCCAATTGTCCATCAATGGAATTGTGTTAAGCATATTTTCACTCTGAAATAAAACGTCATTTTTAACTATCGTCCACATTAATTTTATACAAAATTTCTATACTCTACCTTTATGTACTTCTTCCACTCTTCGTTGGTACTAAGATTTTGTAGCATTGAAATCAACGGGCATTTCGTAAAAAGAATAAAGAAAAAATATCCTCCTGGCTTCAAAATTGAAGAAATAACAGAAAACAATTTCTGATAATCATTTACGAAATTGAAGGCGTAGAAAGACACAACTTTATCGTATTTTCCAATTTCTTTTATATCGGGTCTAGAAATTATAATTACAAATTATAATTTTTATTATATCTTAAAATTTACTTGTAAAATATAATTATTATCTATAGGTTTTTTCACTATATATTCGTAATTATTTATACTGTTCCAGTTAGATTATGTACACCAAATGGTTAAAAAATTAGAGACACCCTGTAATAACCAGTTGTTCTACCTTTAGCTCTGATCACAGCCGATATTCTTCTTGGCATAGACTCAACAAGTTGCTGATACCGTTGATGAGAAATGTTGGCCAATGCTGACATAATGGCAGCTCTAAGTTTGGTCAGATTGAATGGTGGCGTTTCCAAGCTATCAAGTGATTTTTGGACTTCGTCCCACAAATGCTCCAAAGGATTGAGGTCAGGGGACTGAGCTGGCCATAGAAGCAGGTTAAACTCGGATTGATGTTCCTCAAACCAATTTGTGACCGACCGAGCACGGTGGTAATGTGTATTGTCATGCTGAAAGTGACCAACTCCATACGGAACATTACAGAAATAACCGAGCGTACGTGATCACGAGTTAAGATGTTGATGTAAGCTGTGCTATTTATAGATATGTCCACAAATATCAAGGGGCCCAATGTACTTTAGGAAAACATTCCACCCACCATAATTCCACCGCCACCAGCCTGAAGAGTTGCCATTTGGCAGGAATTCGTGCTATTTGCACATTATTCTGATTCTGTCATCTGCNCTTCGTCCCACAAATGCTCCAAAGGATTGAGGTCAGGGGACTGAGCTGGCCATAGAAGCAGGTTAAACTCGGATTGATGTTCCTCAAACCAATTTCGACCGACTGAGCACGGTGGTAAGGTGTATTGTCATGCTGAAAGTGACCAACTCCATACGGGAACATTACAGAAATAACCGAGCGTACGTGATCATGAGTAACGATGTTGAGGTAAGCTGTGCTATTTATAGATATGTCCACAAATATCAAGGGGCCCAATGTACTTTAGGAAAACATTCCACCCACCATAATTCCACCGCCACCAGCCTGAAGAGTTGCCATTTGGCAGGAATTCGTGCTATTTGCACATTATTCTGATTCTGTCATCTGCATGATGGAACAAGAAACGAGATTCATGACATCAGGCTGCTGTTTTCCAGTCCTGAAGTGACCAATTTCCTCGTTCCTGGTCCCACAACAAATGCCTTTTTCCTAGTTTTCTGTCATACCAAAGGCACTCTTGATGGTATCCTGCTGCTAAAACCCATTTTTTGCAAAGTTTGTTGGGATTTGCTTTGTGACCACCTGCATTGAATTCAGCTGTAATATTTATGCTGTTGTTCTTCTGTTGCTGTAAACTGTGTTTATGTTAATCGCCTTTCATCTCTCGTTCACCAGCCTTTATCGACCAGAATTGTCTTTATTGCTTAATTTTTTTTCCAACTGCCACTCTCTAAACACCCGAAGTAATGTTTGGCGAGAAAATCCTAAAAGAGTCGTTGTTTCAGAGATGTTGGCACTAGCTCTTCTTGCACCTTCACTCCTCTTGCATCCCTCATTCAAAGTCACTTAAATCTTTTGTCTTATCTATTTTGACGTTGACTTCCATAATAACTACGTTGTCTGAGGCTGAGCATTCTTTGTATACGAAAGTTAGTGTTGTTACGTCACTCTACGTCACTGTCATTCTAGTTTATTTTTAAATAAGGAGTGTCTCTAATCTTTTGGCCACTCAGTGTATATACAATCGTGAAAACACTAATTGAAGACCTTGCATGCTAAAAAGTTATATCCAAGTTTTAAAAACCATATTTTTAATATTGTGATTTGTTTCTAAAGCATATAACAATGTAATAACATGAGTGTAGAGGTTATTAATGTGGAAAGTGAAACGCGATCTGCCGACGAAAGGAGACGAAGGAGGCCGTCAGAAGCAGTCCAGTAGAGAGAAGACGACGGTTTAAAAAAGGCGGGAAAGAGAACATCACGAGAGAAGCGAGGACACGGTTGAAGAAGAACGCGCGGAAAGACAGAAGACGAAAAAGAAGTCCTACATTTGTTTTTTATAATAATCACAATATTTTTATGTCATTTGTATCCTTTAAAAAATTTCTGTTATCAAAATATTTCTTATCTCAATTAAAGTTTTTCAAAGACAAAAGAAACGTCTCACATTAATATATAGAAATCAAGTTAAATTTGAGAAACATTCCGTGCAAAACGAGTTATATTTAAATATCGTAGCCAATAGCGTAGCTTCATAAACGAAATACAACACGGGCACGATAAAACACATCACACCACAATTATGGCCTAAAGTGAGGAATGATTTAAAACCGTTTCGTCTAGAATGGAAATAAATGAACTACTAAATATTAAAATTAAATCAAAAAACAACATTAAACGGGAAAAGGAAAAGGATAAAATACAATTACTATTCTGTTCAATCATTGTATTTACAATTATTCTTGCCAACCACAAAGAGGTTTCATCGGTTCAATATTAAACATTGAAATAAGATGATGAATTGGCATTTTAATAAACTTTTTGTCCATAAAAGTAACGTTTGGCTTTCTATATTCACAGAAGTTCGAGAAAAATATTTTTCCTTGTATAATTTTCTTATTTTTTCATTTTTAGATACGTTTTTTAAAAAACATTATCCTATTTGAATGCTCTTAAACAATTTATATACATTTATAATAAAAGTAAAATGGAAAAATAAAAAACTGATAATAGGTTTTATTTCTAAACAAATATGTTTTTAATTAAAACGATTTTCGACCATACAAATATTTATGGATCGGTTTAAATTTTGTTTAATACTAGAGAGGTGGCGGCCGACGTTTTCATCGCGAAAACCTGTACGTCGGACGTTCAGCGCCGCCTTTTTGTAAGTTTAGAAGTTTGACAATGGCGTTTGATATGTCGAGCATGATTCCACTGACGTTCCAAACGCCATTGTCAAACTTCTAGGCTTACAGGAAGGCGGCGCTGAACGTCTGCCGCAATTTCTCTACTTTAACTAGAGACAGATAATTAACAACTTTAAAAACCGAAAACATGATATTAAATAACACATACAATATACAATTGACGTCGACATTTCTTTCAGGATCGACATCAATTGTATATTGAATGTGTTATTAATCCTCGGAATTTTCATCATCTATGTAAATGTGTTTTTAATTATCTTTGTACTGTACTACTACAAATGAAAACATCATTATTGCCTCAAAAGTAGTGAAGTCCATTGCAAAGAAGTTCAGACAAGTTATATCCCATTTACCATTCAAAATAAGTTAAATCTAAAATACTGTTCTAATATTATTGTTAATTGTCTACTTGGACATTATTTATTAATAGGACTTAATACTGGTGTTTAAAGATAACAATTACTAAAATACTGTTAAATTAGACAAAAGTGTATAGAATTTGTACAGCTTTCACCTTTGGATGATGTCTTGAACCTTAAACTCAATTCTTTCATCAAAATATGTTTTTTTGGCATACTCGATGTAATCTGGTATTATGTCAACAGCGACGATTTTCATTAATTTCGGGCATTTTGGTAAGAGAATACTTTTGGTTGTTCTTCCTGGACCGCATCCAATATCCAAAATGACATCCTCCTCAGACCATTCCATGCCCGAAAAGTGTGAGTCTATAGCTGATTCTACGTAGCGAGGCAGAAATTTCGGGCATAATTTATCATAATCTTCAGCCGTTCCGTTCATAATTTCTGAAATTGTATACGAAACTATTNGTCATTTTTAACTATCGTCCACATTAATTTTATACAAAATTTCTATACTCTACCTTTATGTACTTCTTCCACTCTTCGTTGGTACTAAGATTTTGTAGCATTGAAATCAACGGGCATTTCGTAAAAAGAATAAAGAAAAAATATCCTCCTGGCTTCAAAATTGAAGAAATAACAGAAAACAATTTCTGATAATCATTTACGAAATTGAAGGCGTAGAAAGACACAACTTTATCGTATTTTCCAATTTCTTTTATATCGGGTCTAGAAATTATAATTACAAATTATAATTTTTATTATATCTTAAAATTTACTTGTAAAATATAATTATTATCTATAGGTTTTTTCACTATATATTCGTAATTATTTATACTGTTCCAGTTAGATTATGTACACCAAATGGTTAAAAAATTAGAGACACCCTGTAATAACCAGTTGTTCTACCTTTAGCTCTGATCACAGCCGATATTCTTCTTGGCATAGACTCAACAAGTTGCTGATACCGTTGATGAGAAATGTTGGCCAATGCTGACATAATGGCAGCTCTAAGTTTGGTCAGATTGAATGGTGGCGTTTCCAAGCTATCAAGTGATTTTTCGACTTCGTCCCACAAATGCTCCAAAGGATTGAGGTCAGGGGACTGAGCTGGCCATAGAAGCAGGTTAAACTCGGATTGATGTTCCTCAAACCAATTTGTGACCGACCGAGCACGGTGGTAATGTGTATTGTCATGCTGAAAGTGACCAACTCCATACGGAACATTACAGAAATAACCGAGCGTACGTGATCACGAGTTAAGATGTTGATGTAAGCTGTGCTATTTATAGATATGTCCACAAATATCAAGGGGCCCAATGTACTTTAGGAAAACATTCCACCCACCATAATTCCACCGCCACCAGCCTGAAGAGTTGCCATTTGGCAGGAATTCGTGCTATTTGCACATTATTCTGATTCTGTCATCTGCATGATGGAACAAGAAACGAGATTCATGACATCAGACTGCTGTTTTCCAGTCCTCAAGTGACCAATTTCCTCGTTCCTGGTCCCACAACAAATGCCTTTTTCCTATTTTTCTGTCATACCAAAGGCACTCTTGATGGTATCCTTTTGCTAAAACCCATTTTTTGCAAAGTCCATTTTTGCAAAGTTTGTTGGGATTTGCTTTGTGACCACCGGCATTGAATTCAGTTGTAATTTTTATGTTGTTGCCCTTCTGTTGCTGTAAACTGTGTGTGTGTTAATCGCCTTTCATCTCTCGTTCACCAGCCTTTATCGACCAGAATTGTCTTTATTGCTTGAATTTTTTTTCCAACTGCCACTCTCTAAACACCCAAAGTAATGTTTGGCGAGAAAATCCTAAAAGAGTCGTTGTTTCAGAGATGTTGGCACTAGCTCTTCTTGCACCTTCACTTCTCTTGCATTCCTCATTCAAAGTCACTTAAATCTTTCGTCTTATCTATTTTGACATTAACTTCCATGATAACTACGTTGTCTGAGGCTGAGCATTCTTTGTATACGAAAGTTAGTGTTGTTACGTCACTCTACGTCACTGTCATTCTAGTTTACTTTTAAATAAGGAGTGTCTGTAATCTTTTGGCCACTCAGTGTATATACAATCGTGAAAACACTAATTGAAGACCTTGCATGCTAAAAAGTTATATCCAAGTTTTAAAAACCATATTTTTAATATTGTGATTTGTTTCTAAAGCATATAACAATGTAATAACATGAGTGTAGAGGTTATTAATGTGGAAAGTGAAACGCGATCTGCCGACGAAAGGAGACGAAGGAGGCCGTCAGAAGCAGTCCAGTAGAGAGAAGACGACGGTTTAAAAAAGGCGGGAAAGAGAACATCACGAGAGAAGCGAGGACACGGTTGAAGAAGAACGCGCGGAAAGACAGAAGACGAAAAAGAAGTCCTACATTTGTTTTTTATAATAATCACAATATTTTTATGTCATTTGTATCCTTTAAAAAATTTCTGTTATCAAAATATTTCTTATCTCAATTAAAGTTTTTCAAAGACAAAAGAAACGTCTCACATTAATATATAGAAATCAAGTTAAATTTGAGAAACATTCCGTGCAAAACGAGTTATATTTAAATATCGTAGCCAATAGCGTAGCTTCATAAACGAAATACAACACGGGCACGATAAAACACATCACACCACAATTATGGCCTAAAGTGAGGAATGATTTAAAACCGTTTCGTCGAGAATGAAAATAAATGAACTACTAAATATTAAAATTAAATCAAAAAACAACATTAAACGGGAAAAGGAAAAGGATAAAATACAATTACTATTCTGTTCAATCATTGTATTTACAATTATTCTTGCCAACCACAAAGAGGTTTCATCGGTTCAATATTAAACATTGAAATAAGATGATGAATTGGCATTTTAATAAACTTTTTGTCCATAAAAGTAACGTTTGGCTTTCTATATTCACAGAAGTTCGAGAAAAATATTTTTCCTTGTATAATTTTCTTATTTTTTCATTTTTAGATACGTTTTTTAAAAAACATTATCCTATTTGAATGCTCTTAAACAATTTATATACATTTATAATAAAAGTAAAATGGAAAAATAAAAAACTGATAATAGGTTTTATTTCTAAACAAATATGTTTTTAATTAAAACGATTTTCGACCATACAAATATTTATGGATCGGTTTAAATTTTGTTTAATACTAGAGAGGTGGCGGCCGACGTTTTCATCGCGAAAACCTGTACGTCGGACGTTCAGCGCCGCCTTTTTGTAAGTTTAGAAGTTTGACAATGGCGTTTGATATGTCGAGCATGATTCCACTGACGTTCCAAACGCCATTGTCAAACTTCTAGGCTTACAGGAAGGCGGCGCTGAACGTCTGCCGCAATTTCTCTACTTTAACTAGAGACAGATAATTAACAACTTTAAAAACCGAAAACATGATATTAAATAACACATACAATATACAATTGACGTCGACATTTCTTTCAGGATCGACATCAATTGTATATTGAATGTGTTATTAATCCTCGGAATTTTTATCATCTATGTAAATGTGTTTTTAATTATCTTTGTACTGTACTACTACAAATGAAAACATCATTATTGCCTCAAAAGTAGTGAAGTCCATTGCAAAGAAGTTCAGACAAGTTATATCCCATTTACCATTCAAAATAAGTTAAATCTAAAATACTGTTCTAATATTATTGTTAATTGTCTACTTGGACATTATTTATTAATAGGACTTAATACTGGTGTTTAAAGATAACAATTACTAAAATACTGTTAAATTAGACAAAAGTGTATAGAATTTGTACAGGTTTCACCTTTGGATGATGTCTTGAACCTTAAACTCAATTCTTTCATCAAAATATGTTTTTTTGGCATACTCGATGTAATCTGGTATTATGTCAACAGCGACGATTTTCATTAATTTCGGGCATTTTGGTAAGAGAATACTTTTGGTTGTTCTTCCTGGACCGCATCCAATATCCAAAATGACATCCTCCTCAGACCATTCCATGCCCGAAAAGTGTGAGTCTATAGCTGATTCTACGTAGCGAGGCAGAAATTTCGGGCATAATTTATCATAATCTTCAGCCGTTCCGTTCATATTTTCTGAAATTGTATATAAAACTATTCATATCAGGTTCATTTGAAAGAAGCTCATAAAGAAAGACGAGAATATTCCATAAAAAGAAAATCGTAACTTTCACCAGAAACGGCTAGAAGGCAAAAACGAAAAAGTTGAAAATCTATCGATTTGGAGATATTCAGATTTAATGCCCGAGATAGTCTCTGGAGTTTATTAATTGTATACGTCGAATCTAGCTCAAAGCAAAAGGTCAAATTTGACCGATTCGAACTCTTTTCCTTGTTATGGGTACATAACAGCCGGCAAAATAACACGCATGTGAACTACAGCAAACCGTGCATGATAAATACCCTCGTACAGCAATAACAGATTCGACTGACGTGTAGTGCCAACAAGCCCATCAACTTTATATGGCAAATTTTGACTTTGAATATCTCAGCGTATAGATAGAAGTTCAAAATTCCGATTTTGTCATGACATCTGCAGAAATAAAAGGTAATAAAACCATTTATATTTGTGATCAACCCGGTCTGCAAAATTCGGTCTCAATAATCCCTTGTTGCAGTTCCGATTTCAATCATTTAACTTTTTTTTTTTTTTTTTGCATTATTTTATACAGCCCTACGTGTGAATAATTCGGAATAACTAACAGTTTTAAAATTATAATATCTAAGGATGATAAAAACTGCTTTGCGAATTTTTCTTAAATTCTAAAATTTAAATACAATTTTAAATATATTCGTGATAATTGCTCATATCTTTAAGAGTAGCAAACAAATAAACGCCTAATTTATTTTTACGTAATGTGTTTTAACCGACTTATTGTAAAGTTGATTTTTGTAAAATGCCAAAACCTGTTTTCTCACCTGCAAAATCTTTCGTAAGAAATACAGAATCAATTCCAATTCGGACCCCCACGCTTCGTTATCAATATTTCGAATCGAAAAAAATCACATGTTACGATTGTGGCAGTTTAGCCTTCACTTCATTAAATTCATTTCGTGCTTATAACCTATAAATTTTTGAAATTTGTGTTTATAGTAAAATCAAAATTATATGTACGTTTAATTAGAAATTGTTCTATGACGCGCACTCTCCTATCTAATTAGATGATTAGCAATGCCTGCAGCCTGCGAGTTTCGATTAAAACCCACGTCTGTATGGCTCTAATTATATTTTTTTCACTAATGTGCTAGTCTGATAAATTAAATCTTCATTATAAATTTACAGTATAATTTGTTTCTTAAAACTATCATTTGAAAGATTTTGTTGTGATAATTAAAAAACATAAATTGTTTAAAAATATTAATTAATTCGAAATGTGAGTTGAATTTTACTTATTATTTTCAATTTATTCAAACTTGCTATAACATACGTCGGGATTGATATTTATATGTTAAAGTAACTACTAAAAATTAAGGCGATCCCGTTGATAGTCAAGTACTCTTCATACCATTAATTCTGTAGAGGTTTCTAGATTAATTCTGTATTTAGTTGACAAAATACAGTCGACACCCCTATAACACGGTAGATAAGTCCCGTTTTTTTATGAAATTCATGTTCTAAGAGTCCTTGAATACATGAGCTAATCACAGCCCTGCACGTATGCAGTTTACGGACTACGGCTGTTTGAAAGATTTTCTTTCATAATATTAATTGATCGATTCTAGACTAATTTGACTCAACGCTTCCAAAACACGTGTAATTTTTTGGGAATAATCCATATAAACTCTTGCATAAACAAAAAATTTTAAGATTACTTACCGAGTGTGCACCGTTCGACGACGCCATTGCTTAAGCTTGTTTACATCGCGGAGCGGCGCATCGAACGGCGGGCGCGTGTTTCCTGGTAAATTATTTTTCTGCAAAAAATTTATTGAACTTTGGAGACATCATTAATATAAATATCATTTTTATGGTCGTTAAATAATAATTGTTTTTTAGTAGGTTTGCTGCTCGTTTATACCCAACGGTTTGTGCAATTTTCGCTATTGGTCTAGATTCGACAAATCCTGTCGGCGATGACGTTTTACCGTATTATACGAGTTTTTAGCGTGTTTATACGAATACGGTCGCAATTTTTTCGTCGTTATATACGAATTCGCATTATATAAACCCGTTTTATAGGGGTGTACTGTATATGAATTTACAAGCTCAGAAAATATTTTCTTTATAAATAAGTGTTTATATCAGCCAACCTTTTGCATACCATGCGCCAATGTTTTGATAGACGCGTTCAGATGCGCAGTGGCGCACCGTGAGTGTTCGCAGCCCGGGGCGGAGAAAAATTTCGGCCACCCCTTAATTAGGTATTTTAATTTATAAGACGAAAATTCAGTTTTGCCACAGAACAAGCAATGAAAAATGCGGTTGTAGTATAGCTACCCGTATAAAATAGTTCTATATGACATTAGTGGTGAACATGAACATGAATGTATCGTGTAACGTACAAGGAAAAAAAAAGTCAACAGGTCGATTGCAACGAATTGTGTAAGAAATGAACTTGCCAAGACAGACTATAAAAAATTAATTTTCTATGTAATATTCATAATTGCAATGAAGCCAAATCTGGCAATGTTGCTCAGAACCGACGGAAGCGCCACTTGTAATCGTCCAATGCGCCAAGTTTGGCGCATGCGCCACGTTTTGGCCACCCCTGGTTTATATCATTCGAGTTTTAAAAACTTTTTCACAATTTAAATCTTACCTGGAAACAGGATTCAGCAATTTCGTCTGTTATAAGTCCAATTATGGAATCTTTCGTTGTTTCACTGCATCAGTTGATATACACATAACCGTAGTAATATNAGTACCTAATTTATATATAATACTGTACAGACGATAGCAAACTCAATTTAGCCGCTCCGTAGCGTGGCGCAGGGCGGAGGAAAGTAGTTCGGCTGTTCATCCACTATTGGTCCAGATTCTATCAATCTTGTCGCGACACGAGTCGGCGACGACGTTTTAGGAGTTCCTTTATACGAATATTGCTACAATTTTTTCGCTACGTTATAGGAATTTCCGTTATAGTAACCCACGTTATAGGGGAGTCGACTGTATAATTATTTGTAAAAAATCTTCCTTAGTACTTCTGATACTAGTTTATTTTTAATAATATTGTTTGTCTATCAAAAAAACTTTTACATATGTATGTCAATTTTTACTATGTTAACAATTTTTTACTATGTCTGTTATCTACCCATGTGTAAAAAAATTTTAATGATTGCGAGTATAATGGTTTGTTTGTTGGAAGTTATGGTTGTTTAATTTTAGATGTATATTAATACGGAATGCACAATTTTATGTTTAAATACAGGTTAGAGGATGAGGAAGGNGTATGTCAATTTTTACTATGTTAACAATTTTTTACTATGTCTGTTATCTACCCATGTGTAAAAAAATTTAAATGATTGCGAGTATAATGGTTTGTTTGTTGGAAGTTATGGTTGTTTAATTTTAGATGTATATTAATACGGAATGCACAATTTTATGTTTAAATACAGGTTAGAAATGAGGAAGGTTTGCCCTCCCAATCCCTATTTTGAAAATAAAAAAAAATTATTTGTAATTAACATAATGTGGAAATGTAAGTGTTTTTTATGATTTAGTATTTTTTATGGTATAACATGGTCATGTTTTAATATTTCTTGTTTATTTGAACTAGCACTGAGGAGGGGTTGGAGTACATTATACCAACCCGAAATGTAAGTTCAATGGAAAATAAAAAATAATTTGCTAACCAGAAATTACTGTGAGATACGTCTACCAAAGTGTGTTTTTTTTGGATTACAGAGACGGATTTACATTTGTAATATACCATACAGTAAGCCATTTATATATTAAGGAAAACATTTATTTTACTTTTTAAAAAAAATCAAAATGCATTTCACCTATTCGACATCTTCAGTGGATACTGACTTCAATTAACAAGTATCTTCTTATAATGAACGATACTATACCTGCAATGATCACGCCAGCATTTAAATTTCTCTGGCTGTAGCGAAGGGGTGCAGGACATCTTCTACCGAAACTATTCTNTAACTGATGATAATAATAAAAATATTAAACTTAAAGATTTGAAAATAAAATTTATAATTAATGATTATCCAAAGATTATTCTTACTAAATAGAAAACATGTTACTTAAAAGTTATAATACGAAGTTTAAAAATGGAGAAACATAAAAGATTTCCATATCTTGAAAATATTTTTGATTATTGTAGTAATTGCCTTAAAAATTATAACATTTGTTTGGTCCCATCTTTGACCAATAAAATTTCACAGAATATTCACAGATATATTGTTATTAGTAGTATTAATAATATGGATTGCCGAAAAAAGCTGGTGTTGTATACAAGTTGGAATGTGATTGTCAAAATCCATATATGTACATAGGTGAAACAGGGAGCATGTTAGATGTTAGAATAAAAGAACATGAAGCGGCCACCAGATTGAAGTACAATAATTCTCCGTGGTATGATCATACAAATAACAATAATTGTAAAATTAACCGTAATAATATAAAATTCAAATAACAATAATTGTAAAATTAACCGTAATAATATAAAAATTTTGCATTTTGAAAAAGATCCTTATAAAAGAAAATTTAAAGAGCATTTAGAAATAAGGAAACAAAAAAATAATTTAATAAATAACTCAGATGGTATGCAAATTGATTACCACTGGTACGAATTAATAGATGGCGCTAAAACAAGTTAAAACATGGTACAGTAGACCCCCCCCCTATAACGCTTAGATACGTTCCACGTTAATCGAATTTTACGTTGTAGGAATCATTAAATACATGAGCCAATCGCAGCTCGACACGTGTGAAGTTTACGGACTAAGGCTGTTTGAGAGGTTTTCTTCTATAAAATTAACCGATTCTAGACTAATTCCACTCAACATTTCCAAAACACGTATAATTTTTTGGGAATAATC